AAAGGTGTAAAAGTAAGGAAGAGTTAATTGAATGAATACGTGGCAGCGGTGGGCGTAGAGTGGGTGGCGTGTGTGTGGGTGTGGGTGGGGTGCGTGTATGTGTGGGGAAGGGGAGGGGCTTGGTGAGTTGGACTTGGGCGGTTGAGTGTGTATGTGCAGTATGTATGCTAGGTGTGTGTGTGTGTGTGTGTGTGTGTGTGTATGTATGTATGTATGCTAGTGTGTGTGTGTGTGTGTGTGTGTAGAGGGGCGGTGTGGGTAGATGGGCGGTGTGGGTGTGTGTGTAGATGGGCGGTGGGTGTAGGTGGGTGGGTGGTGTGTGTAGATGGGCGGTGTGGGTGGGTGTGTGTAGATGGGCGGTGTGGGTGTAGATGGGTGGGCCGTGACTTCAACTTCTCAAGGTCTTAGCAATTAATATTTCAAGTCATGTTTGTTTACCTGGCTGAGTTAAGAGATTTCAACACACACACACACACACACACACACACACACACACACACACACACACACACATGGCAGACAGGTGCTACAGGAATGCGTCACACCTGTAGTTCTGGCCACACTACCTGCCGCTGTCTGGTTGGGATTCCATTCACAATTTGGGGATATTATTGTGGGTGTTTGTGGTGATGGGGGTGTGGTGATGGGGGTGTGGTGATGGGGGGTGTGGTGATGGGGGGTGGTGATGGGGGGGGTGGTGATGGTGGGGGTGGGTGATGGGGGTGTGGTGATGGGGTGTGTAGATGGGGGGTGGTGATGGGGGGTGGGATGGTGGGGGGGTGTGGTGATGGGGGGTGTGGTGATGGGGGGTGGTGATGGGGGTGTGGTGATGGTGGGGGTGGTGATGGGGGTGTGGTGATGGGGTTGTGTGTTGGGGGGGTGTTTGTGGTGATGGGAGGGTGTTTTGGTGTTGGGAGGGTGTTTGTGGTGATGGGAGGGGTGTTTGTGTTGGGTAGGTGTTTGTGGTGATGGGAAGGTGTGTTTGTTGATGGGAGGGTGTTTGTGGTGTTGGGAGGGGTGTTTGTGGTGATGGGAAGGTGTTTGTGGTGATGGGAAGGTGTTTGTGTGATGGGAGGGTGTTTGTGGTGTTGGGAGGGGTGTTTGTGGTGATGGAAGGGTGCTTGTGGTGATGGGAGGGGTGTTTGTGGTGTTGGGAGGGTGTTTGTAGATGGGAAGGTGTTTGTTGATGGGGGGTTGTGGATGGGGGGTGTTTGTGGTGATGGTAAGGTGTTTTGTAGATGGAAGGTGTTTGTGGTGATGGAGGGGTGTTTGTGGTGTTGGGAAGTTGTTTAGGTGATGGGGGGTTGTGGTGATGGGGATGTTTGTAGATGGGGGTGGTGATGGGGATGTTTGTAGATGGAGGGGTTGTGGTTATGGGGATGTTTGTGGTGATGGAAGGTGTTTGTGGTGATGGGGGGGTGGTGATGGGGATGTTTGTGGTGATGGAGGGTTGTGGTGATGGGGGTGTTTGTGGTGATGGGAAGGTGTTTGTGGTGATGGGAAGGTGTTTGTGGTGATGGGGGATGTTTGTGGTGATGGGAAGGTGTTTGTGGTGATGGTGTGTGTGTGTTTTTTGTATTCTGTTTGTTTCTTTATTAATATTCCGTCCAATATATGCTTTTCTGTCTGTTTCTGTCGGTTTTATTGCTCTGTATTTTGAATATCGAGCTGTTATCCCTGTCTAATATGTCTGCCTGTCTTTTGTCTATCTAACTCTTTCTGTCTCCTTTTGTTTTGTCTATTTAGTTGTCTTTTTGCGTGTCTGTCGTTCTGTCTCTCTTACTGTCTGTCTTTCCGCTTGTTTGTCTGCTTGTCCTTTGTCATTTGTCTCTCGTCTTCTGCTGTTTGTCTGTCTATCGGCCTATCTGTCTCTCGTCATTGTTTTGTCTATCTTAATGTCCTTGTCCATCTGTTCACTTCTTGTCTGTCTACCTCTGTCTGTCAGCCTCTTCTGTCTGTCTGTCTACCTCTCTCTCTGTGTCTGTCTAATTGTCTACATCTCTGTCTGTCTGTCTACCTCTCTGTCTATCTCTACCTCATCTCTTTTATGTCTGTCTGTATCTGTCCACCTCTCTGTCTGTCTGTCTACCTCTCTCTGTCTGTCTGTCCATCTGTCTACATCTCTCCTGTCTATCTGTCTACCTCTGTCTATCTGTCTACCCTCTGTCTGTCTGTCTACCTCTCTCTCTGTCTGTCTATCTATCTGTTTACATCTCTGTCTGTCTGTCTACATCTCTCTGTCTATCTGTCCACCTCTCTCTGTCTGTCTGTCTACCCTCTTCGTCCATCTGTCTACCCTGTCCATTCCAACTCTCTCTCTCTCTGTCTGTCTACCCCTCTCTGTCTATCTCTCTACCCTCTATCTCTTTATGTCTGTCTGTCTACCTCTCTCTCTCTCTCTGTCTGTTCATCTATCTGTTTACACTTCTGTCTGTCTGTCTACCCTCTCTCTCTGTCTGTCTGTCCATCTGTCTACATCTCTGTCCATCTGTCTACCTCTGTCTATCTGTCTACCTCTCTCTGTCTGTCTGTCTACCTCTCTGTCTGTCTACTATCTGTTTACATTCTGTCTGTCTGTCTACATCTCTCTGTCTATCTGTTCACTCCTCTCTCTGTCTGTCTGTCTACCTCTCTCTGTCTATCTGTCTACCCTGTCTATCTGTCTACCCTCTCTCTGTCTGTCTACCTCTCTCTGTCTATCTCTACCTCTATCTCTTTATGTCTGTCTGTATCTGTTCACCTCTGTCTGTCCGTCTACCTCTCTCTCGTCTGTCTGTCCATCTGTTCATCTCTTCTATCTGTCCACCTTCGTTCTATCTGCTCCTCCTCTCTGTCTGTCTGTCTACCTCTCTCTCTGTCTGTCTATCTATCTGTTTACATCTCTATCTGTCTGTCTACATCTCTCTGTCCATCTGTCTACCCTGTCTATCTGTTCCTCTCTCTCTGTCTGTCTACCCCTCTGTCTATCTCTTTACCTCTCTATCTCTTTATGTCTGTCTGTCTACCCTCTCTCTCTCTGTCTGTCTATCTATCTGTTTACATCTCTATCTGTCTGTCTACATCTCTGTCTATCTGTCTACCTCTTCTGTCTGTCTGTCACCTCTCTCTGTCTATCTGTTCACCTCTGTCTGACCTGTCTACCTCTCTCTCTGTCTGTCTACCTCTGTCTATCTCTACCTCTATTCTCTTTATGTCTGTCTGTCTACCCTCTCTCTCTCTGTCTGTCTATCTATCTGTTTACATCTCTGTCTGTCTGTCTACCTCTCTGTCTATCTGTCTACCTCTCTATCTATCTGTCTACCTCTCTCTGTCTGTCTATCTATCTGTCTACATCTCTGTCTGTCTGTCTCCATACCAAAGGGTAATGATGACCTTCGTTTAACATAATCATCACTATAGTCGAGGCGAGGCAAGAGATTTAGCGCAAAGACACCTCCCCATTTTCTTTCCTCCTTTCTTTAATACTCTGTACTTAGTTAATTCTCTCGTGTCTGGGGTGTATGTATGTTAATGTAGTAGTTAGATGGCAGTAGTATGGTGGTGTTGTTATGCTAGTTGGTGGTGTATATATAGGTATGGACGGTGATGTCCAGCAGGTAACTACATAGTGTATATTAAGAGAGGTAGGTGGTGTTAGTCGTTCCTAGAATGGCTTTGTGGTAGAGGTTGTCTGTGTGGTGATAATTTTACCCTCTCTGTTTCTTGTTATATTAAGGTTATTAATCTCTCTCTCTCTCTCTCTCTCTCTTTCGTATCTAGTACTATCCAAAGTGTTTTTTCTCTACGGGACCGTCACAAACGCTAGTGAGTATAATGGCCTGTACTTACTGTCGCTGTTCACACGCATTCAGGCTGACGGGGCAGGGCAGGGCGGGCAGGATGGGGTAAAACGGGGCCCCGGGTTTGGGAGGGTTAAGGAGGAGCGGGGCGGATTAAGACGGGATGGAAAGGGGCGGGGATAATTCTCTCGTAACTTTTCATGTTGATTTTTTCCCCACGTAACTTGAGAGAGGGAAAAAATGTCCTAAGTTACGATGTTTTTTTCTTTATTTCTCTCCCCTCCTCTCATCCCTTCTCCTCCCTCCCCCCATCCTCCCTCCCATCCCTCCCTCCCCCTCCTCCCATCCCCCTTCCCCTAATTTTTTTAGAATTCGATGCGTCTTGCTCACTATCTCCGTCGCGTTGCCTAAGTGAGCCAATTTGCCTATCGAATGATCTACCCTGCCGTCTGTGACATTCCTTAGAACGGTCGGTTAGGTTAGGTTAGATCACGAAGGGGTTAGGTTAGGTTAGATTAGGTTAGATTAGGTTAGGTTAGATTAGGTTAGGATAGGATAGGTAGCTATTCATAGGTGTTTCCGGATAAGGTCTTCTTATATAACAGCATCTTTTAAAACTATTAGGGTCACATCATGCCACGTGGAGGGACGTCGTTAGGTGTTGATATATCTGAATTCTGGCTCAAAGGTAAACAAGGTGCGCGGGCGTGGATGAGGCCTTTGGTTGATCAGGTAATGTGTCGTTAGTAATACCAATTTAATGTAAGGGAGGAGCAGAATCTTTGTAGAATATATGACAACTTGAGCCACGAGTCGTCTGGTATCTTGTTGAAAGCGACGGCGAAGTGACCGATGGTGACGTCAGGAGGAACCACGTCATAAACCCAACAGGAATGACCGTGGATGTCATGTTTATCTGTGTGGATCTTGATATACGGCACCACACCCCCGCTGGAGACACGGAGGAGGAGGCATGACCAAGGGCACGGGAGGGAGGCATGACCAAGGGAACGGCACCGGAGGGGTGCATGATCAAGGGCACGGAGTGGGGGCATGACCAAGGGCACGGAGAGGGGCATGACCAAGGTCACGGAGGGGGGCGACCAAGGGCACGGAGGGGGCATGACCAAGGGCACGGAGGGGGCATGACCAAGGGCACGGGAGGGGGGCATGGCCAAGGCACGGAGGGGGCATGACCAAGGGAACGGCACCGGAGGGGGCATGACCAAGGGCACGGAGGGAGGCATGACCAAGGGCACAGGAGGGAGCATGACCAAGGGAACGGCACCGGAGGGGTGCATGATCAAGGGCACGGGAGTGGGGGGCATGACCAGCACGGGAGAGGGCATGACCAAGGTCACGGAGGGGGGGCATGACCAAGGGCACGGAGGGGGGGGCATGACCAAGGGCACGGGAGGGGGGCATGACCAAGGGCACGGAGGGGGGGGCATGACCAAGGGCACGGAGGGGGGGCATGGCCAAGGGCACGGAGGGGCGCATGACCAAGGAACGGCACCGGAGGGGGGCATGACCAAGGCACGGACGGAGGGGGCCACGACCAAGGGAACGGACGGAGGGGCCACGACCAAGGGAACGGACAGGAGGGGGCCACGACCAAGGGCACGGACGGGAGGGGCCACGACCAAAGGAACGGGACGGAGGGGGCCAAGACCAAGGAACGGACGGAGGGGCCACGACCAAGGAACGGACGGAGGGGCCACGACCAAAGGAACGGACGGAGGGGGCCACGACCAAGGAACGGACGGGAGGGGCCACGACCAAGGAACAGGACGGAGGGGCCACGACCAAAGGAACAGGACGGAGGGGCCACGACCAAGGAACAGGACGGAAGGGGGGCCACGACCAAGGAACAGGACGGAGGGGCCACGACCAAGGAACAGGACGAGAGGGGCCACGACCAAGGAACGGACGGAGGGGGCCACGACCAAAGGAACGGACGGAGGGGGCCACGACCAAGGAACGGGACGGAGGGGCCACGACCAAAGGAACGGGACGGAGGCCACGACCAAGGGAACAGGACGGAGGCCACGACCAAGGAACAGGACGGAGGGGCCACGACCAAAGAACGGGACGGAGGGGCCACGACCAGAACGGGACGGGAGGCGACCAAGGAAGGGACCGGAAAGGGGCCACGACCAAGGAACGGACGGAGGGGCCACGACCAAAGGAACAGGACGGAGGGGCCACGACCAAGGGAACGGGACGGAGGGCCACGACCAAGGGAACGGACGGGAGGGGCCACGACCAAGGGCACAGGACGGAGGGGCCATGACCAAGGAACAGGACGGAGGGGGCCACGACCAAGGAACGGACGGAGGGGGCCACGACCAAAGGAACGGACGGGAGGGGGCCACGACCGGAACAGGACGAGGGGCCACGACCAAGGGAACAGGACGGAGGGGGCCACGACCAAAGGAACGGACGGAGGCCACGACCAAGGGAACGGACGAGGGGCCACGACCAAGGGAACGGACGGAGGGGCCACGACCAAGGAACAGGACGGAGGGGCCACGACCAAGGAACGGACGGAGGGGCCACGACCAAAGGAACGGGACGGAGGGGGGCCACGACCAAGGAACGGGACGGGAGGGGGCCACGACCAAAGGAACAGGACGGAGGGGCCACGACCAAGGGCACAGGACGGAGGGGCCATGACCAAGGAACGGACGGAGGGGGCCACGACCAAGGGAACGGACGGAGGCCACGACCAAAGGAACAGGACGGAGGGGGCCACGACCAAGGGAACGGACGGAGGGCCACGACCAAGGAACAGGACGGAGGCCACGACCAAAGGAACGGACGGAGGGGCCACGACCAAGGGAACGGACGGAAGGGGCCACACCGAGGAACGGACGGAGGGGCCACGACCAAAGGAACGGGACGGAGGGGCCACGACCAAGGGAACGGGACGGAGGGGCCACGACCAAGGAACAGGACGGAGGGGGCCACGACCAAGGAACGGACGGAGAGGGCCACGACCAAGGGAACGGACGGGAGGGGCCACGACCAAGGGAACAGGACGGAGGGGCCACGACCAAGGAACGGGACGGAGGGCCACGACCAAGGAACGGACAGGAGGGGGCCACGACCAAGGAACGGACGGAGGGGCCACGACCAAGGAACGGGACGGAGGGGGCCACACCAAGGAACAGGACGGAGGGGGCCACGACCAAGGGAACGGACGGGAGGCCAACCAAGGAACGGACGGAGAGGGCCACGACCAAGGGCACGGACGGAGGGGCCACGACCAAGGGAACAGGACGGGAGAGGGCCACGAGATACAGATTATAAAACCACTTTGACGTAACAAATTAATGGTCTGATTTACCTCAACAAATTACCCCAGAAATCAATAACTTACCTAAGGCATTTAATCAGGAAATAACCCCCACCTCCTTCTCCTCCCTCCAAATGCCTAACTCTTATAGCCTTGGTGATCCTCCTCGAGAAGCACTGACCTAGAGACTCGACATGCATGCTTGGAGGATTTTCATCAAGTAATACTCCAGAGATCAACACACTTGGTGACTTTTTTTTTCCCTTCACAACAACACCACTCTGCCAGTCAGCTGTGTTTGTTGACATAATTTTTTCTTCTGGATTTTTTTTTTTTTTGCTTTTATGGTCAAGTGTGTGTGTGTGTGTGGGGGTGTTATGAGGAGATCAACCATAAACCTTGAAGACTTCTCTTACGGTACGAGTATATTTAATAATGTTTTTGGATTCTCTTTTAAGCTTATCGTTACTCCAGCTTACTTTAACTCTAACTTTAATTCCAACTAATTTTAAATCCAGCTTAATTTTATCAAGCTTAAGATTAATTAAGCGTATCTCTAAGGAAACTGATAATTAGTTGCGTTTATCTAGAATTAATCTTATAAGTAAATGTAAATAATCAAATTTACAGGTAATTAAACTCATTTAAAATTAAGATTGTAATTAATTAGACTCGTCTTTCGTCAAGCTTATAAGTAATTAATATCTTCTTTGATGAGTATGCTGAATTAAGCTTATGATTAATTAAGTTCATCTCCAGTTAAACTTATAAGTAATTAAATTATTTCTATTAATCTTATATGCAATTAATATTTTACATAATTTATTGATCTTAAAATTAATTAAAGTTATTTATATATAAGCATCTTATAAATTTAACTCCTATCAATTAAAGTTTTGTCAAATCAAGCTTACACTTGATCAAACTTACATCTGATTAATCCTATAAATAATATAGCTTATCTCTAATTAAGCTGTGTCGTGCTGGGTGACGTCAACACTTGTTCTGTTTACTCTCAGTCACCGACTTTTCCTGACCCAGACCACGCCTTGTTGACAAACACCCCACCTAAAAACACAGTTTCCTATTTTGGAACAGAACATGACCCAGTACGATGGAACGTGACCTTGCATGATGGGGAATAAATTAACACGATGGAACGTGACCTAATGTCATGGAACGTGACCTAAGGTAATGGAGCATAAATTAACGCGATGGACCATACATTAACGCGATGGAACATGACCCAAAAGATGGAGCACAACTTAACACGATGGAGCATGATCTAACGTGATGGAGCATAAATTAACGCGTTGGAACATACATTAACGTGATACAACATGACCTAACGTGATGGAATAAAAATTAACATGGGGGGAATAACTCCTAACGCAATGGAAAAGAACTAACGAAAAACAACCCGACCCGACCCGACCCGACCCGACCCGACTCACCCAAGCACAACACACCAACAGGGTCCGTCGGTAGCCAAGACCTCGCGATAAATGATCGTCACCTGCGGGGCCACCAAGGTAACCACCCAGGGGGACCACCAAGGACCATTATGTCACCTTCTGTCGCTGTACAGGTGCTCCCGAAGCCCACCTGGACCACCTAATGATTCACCTGTTGTACCTGAGGATGATGTACACACCTACACCTTACCAACCCCCTTATCCCTCCCTCCCTCCCCTCCTCTCCACTGCCTCCTCTCTCCCCAGATGACGTCACGAGTAGTCTTGTTTGTCTATCTGTCTCTGTCTGTGTCTCTGTCTGTCTCTAAGTCTCTCATAGTCAGTTTCTCCTTTTTTTTCCTTTGAGTAATAGCAGAAATGACATTGCTCTAGCTTCTCTCTCTCTCTCTCTCTCTCTCTCATTAGGTAATATCAGAGGTTGTCTCCATGCATAACAGAGTAGGGTAGCAATTCCAGGTTAACCTCTTATTAACATTGGAAGTCTGTAAACACGAGAGGACGTTCCTGCGTTCCTACCCTCCTCCTTTCTTCCTACTTTTTCTCCTCCGTTTTCTCCTTTTCCTCCTACTCCACTTCCTCCCTACTTTCCAATCCTTTTCTCTTCCTCCTCCTCCCTCTCCTCCTCTACTCCTCCTCTACCATCCTACCTCCTCCTCCTACTCACCTTCCAATTCTCTCTCCTCTTCCTCCTCCTACTCTTCCTTCTCACACCCTCCACCTCTTCCTCTCCTCCTCCTCCTCCTCCTCCTCTCCCCCTCCACCTCCTCCTCCTTCCTCCCCCCTCCTCCTCCTCCTCCTCCTCCTCCTCCTCCTCCTTCTCTACCACCCTCCAATTCTCTTCCTGCCCCAATTAAGACAGAAGACTCGTGGCTTTTTATTTAGCCATAAACCAATTGCCAATGAATATAAAAATCGCTCGTCTAGTGGTTATGACAAGCATTCCGAGAGAGGCCAGCAAGAATTGTTGAAACGATGCAATTTGTGATGTTTTGGGAGGAGAAGTGGAAGTGAGGAAGAAGAGAAAGAAAGAGAAGAAGAATAGTGGGAGTGGAAGTGATGAAAGAGAAGAAGAAGAAGAAAAATATTAGGGACGGAAAAGATTAAAGGAAGAACAAGAAGAAGAAGAACAGAAGAACGACGGAAACAAAGAAGAGGCGGTCAACTGGAAGAATAGTTCAAGGAGAATGGAAAAAAAATAGAAGAAGAAGAAGAAGAGGAGCAATAATTGTGATGTATGAAAGAATAAGAATGGAAGCCAAAACAGAAAGAAAATACAGGAAAACATCTGAGTTTGAGAAGAAGGAAAAATATATAAATTAACTCGCCTACTTAATGTAATATGGGGAAAAGTAACACAAATTGCATAAAAAAAAAATCTCAGTGTATTTAAGGATGAACAAAAAACACAAAAACACCTCACACATTGAAGAGGGTAATAAACATCCATTAGTCAGGTCAGTAAGGTGGAGACTGAGTGTTAATGAGAATGCTTTAAAGTCTGTCTGACTTTGTCTGTGTTGGGACAGTACGTTATATGTTCTGTTAACTAACAAGGAAAGAGGAAGAGTATTTGAGTGTGTGTGTGTGTGTGTGTGTGTGTGTGTGTGTGTGTGTGTGTGGGTGAGACAAAGGGGGGAGGGAAGGGAACAGAGAGAAGAGGAAGAGACAGAGAGAGAGAGAGAGAGAGAAATAGAAGGGGGAAGAAACAGAGAGGGTGAAATAGAGAGAATGTGAGAGAGAGAGAGAGGGAGGGCGAAATAGAGAGAGAGAGAGAGAGAGGAGGGCGAAAGAGAGAAAGAGAGACAGAGAGAGAGAGAGAGAGAGAGTACATAAATTCCACAGGACAATATCAAGGGTCTCATTCTCTCAGAATCTGAGACCAGACTGAAATACTTACCGATTTTCTGGTTAATCTGGTGGAGAGGGGAAGACAAAATCGGCCTTCACTTGACAACACTTAAACCAAGCCAATAACACACACACACACAAACACGGTCTGCTAATTGGTGTTTGTCGCTAAGGTTTCATTCTCTCTCTCTCTCTCTCTCTCTCTCAGTTGAACATGATTGTGGGAGAAATAAGAAGCAAAACAGATAAAAAAGAAAGTGAGAGAGAGAGAGAGAGAGAGAAAACATCCTTGTTCACGCTAACTTTCCGACGATACATTTTTTTTTCATTTTCTATTGGTGAAAGCATAACACCCTCCCCCACACACAAAAATTCAATTCATTTGCACAGTTGTTTTTGAGCCAGGTGTGTTGCTAGTGACAGGGAGGTAATAACAAGCTGATAGGAGAAATATAACAACTGCTCACTAATATAACAAACGGGGAAGGGATACCGGAATATAGTATACAGTAGTGTGATGTTGAAATATATACTGTATATATATATGAGTATACTGTAGTGTATTTAAAGGGTGGACATATGTGGCTTGGTTTGTCGTGTGTGTAACAGTCATGTGTATAATAGTGGGGATATGTGGTGTATAACAGATGTATAGTGGAGGTATAGCAGGTGTATGACGTATGGATAGTACAGGTATATATAACAGGTTTATAATACATGTATTGCAGGTGTATAACAGATATGTATCATGTGTATATCCGGTATGGGTGTACGTAGCATACCTGACTGTGTATTTAGGTGTATGTAGACTATTGTGTGTGTGTGTGTATTGGAGTCCACTCTCCAGTAGCGACCAGCTGTAAATATCAAAATAAAATGTTTAGTGGCCTACCAACGAAAGCTCCGCCTCCTTATTTGGCGTCCTTAGCAACCGTCGCATTTATCGGACTTTGATTGGATGATAGTTGCTAAGGGAGTCAGTGATAGCAACCGGCAACCAATTATGTTCCGCGATTGACGAAAATGGGCGGAGTTGACTCGCCCAAGTTGGCAAATTCAGGTTAAAAGAAACTAAATGGAAGATAATTCTTCTTTCCTCATCACTTGGTAACCTGAAAAAAGCAGGAGGGAAGAAGGGGAGGGATGATGGTAGGAAGGAAATAGGAGGAGAGGAAGACAAAAGGAGGACTGTGGAGGTAGGGAAGAAGGAGGAAAGAGGATTTAAAAGATGAAAGGGAAGAAGGGATATGAAGAGGTGGAGTGATTGTGCTGCAGATTAGTTGGAAGAGAGAAGGAAGAGGAAGGAAGGAAGGGAAGGAACAGGGGGGAAGAGGAAGGAAGGGGGAAGGAAGGAAGAAGGAAGGGGAAGTTGTAGAGAGATAGAAGGAGAAAGGAAGGAGACACATGGGGAGGAAAGCAATAATATAATAATGATTACATAATTAAGTCACCTGAAGATTAGACACCCCAGGTGATTTTGCTCGAAATATTCACCACCGTAACGTTAACCTCACCAAAATTAACGTCAACTTAATCTAACCTAACAGTAATCTTATCTAACTCTCTCAAATCTAACTTGAACCTAACCTAATGCTACAGTAACCACTCCTAATGCGAGCACAATTCTTGGAACACTTTGTTTGAGGTGTGTGTGTGTGTGTGTGTGTGTGTGTGTGTGTGTGTGTGTGTGTGTGTGCCATGA